TCGCAATTAGTGACCTCAAGTAGAGGTACGTTTCGGCAAAAAGATTGAGCATCAAACGAAATGACGGCAAAAAGATGTGGTTCCGCCCGGGATCGAACCGGGGACCTTCTCGGTGTTAACGAGATGCCATAACCAACTAGACCACGGAACCCGGGTTTTGGATGACTCATCCGGCACCGCAGAGAATTATGTTGGCAGGCTGATTGTCCCTGGGAAGAATTGGATCGCATTTCGAAGGTCGTGGACGCAAATGGGATGAGAGGCTCGCCTCCAACTGAAGTGCAAAGGTTGGAAACTTCTTTACGATTGATCGGTTTCGATAAGGTTAAGCATCGAACAGCGGGGTATCAACGGCCGGGGTCGTAGTAAGAGCGACGATTGGTGACGCGACACGTGTGACCTTAAATTTGAGGGTGACCAGCGACAACTTCATTCTGTCACGAACACGTCACGGCGATAACATCAAAGAGGAACTGCAATGAATGGCATTGATAGATGAATTGGGTATTAAGTAGATTGAAGTAAAGTCTATAGTAAAATTAAACGCTATGATGCCACCAATTAATTTTCGGGTTTCCAGCCCCAGTAATAACTTTTATGAGATGATTATGTGAATGATTGCTTGGTGTTGACTCTGTCAATGTCGTAAGGGTTGCCCTCATACGACCTGCGACGCGACGCCATTGAAGCCCGAGACGCGCGCGATGCATGAGAAGCGTGCGATCGTACAGAGTGATGTGTCCTGCTAGCAGTGATGGGAGCGTAGGCAGGCTCCTCAACCTCAGTTGAGGCATCGTCGTCAAAGTTCTCCTCCTCAGGCACAGTCTCGTCATTCTTCTCCTCCTCAGATGGGGGAGCAGCGTCGTTTTGAAGCTTGCGCATGAAAGCAGCGGACTGAGCAGCGAATTTGCACTTCTCGCGGATGGAAGCGCCGTACTTGTAAAAGAGGAAAGGGAAGGGAACGCAAGCCAGGGCGAGGAAAGCAGGGACTGAAGAAGCCCAGTGAATACCGAGGTCTTTGTACATGTAAGTTGTGAAGAGAGGGAATGCGGCACCGAAGAGAGATCGGAGAACCGAGTTGGCAGCCAGGACAGAGGCGGCGAAGATGGTGTAGGAGTCAATGAGATAGTTCATAACACTGAGGAAGACAAGGACCATGCCGAATCCGAAGGGGACTCCGGCAGCGATACTGGCCATCCAGTGGATGCTAGGGTCGTTGGTCCAGGCGAACCAGAAAAGGCCAATAGGCAGACAGACGGAACCGATAAGACAGGCAGGGAGACGAGCCTCGGGGGGTGCGAAGCCACCGTTCTTCTGCTCGATCTTGATGTAGCGCTTGTTCTGGGGGATGGTGTATGCGATAGCCAAGAGCATGCCGACCATGATGCCAAGGAAGGCCAGGCCACCGACACCAGAGTTCCAGCCGCGGTTCTGCTGATAGACAATAGGGAAAGCGCCGAAGAGCATATACAGGGTGCCATAAACGATAGCCATGTAGATGGAGAGGAGAAGGACGATAGGCTCCTTGAATAGCAAGATCCAAGGTCTAGACAGGGCGGTCTTGAAAGACTCGGTAAGAGTAATCTTACCACGCTCGTAGTCAATCTGGCTGACATAGACATGTCCTGTGATCTTGGAGAGCTTGGAGGCGCGTTGTCGGAGGAGGACGGGGGCGTATGTCTCGGGGACCAAAAGGGTACCGACAATCCAGAGAGCGCCAGAGAAGGCACCGAGGAAGCCCATGACCCAGCGCCAACCAGCGTTCATACCGAGGAAACCTCCAATGATGGGACCAAGGACGGGTCCAAGGAAGGGAGCAGCAGCGAAGATGGCCATGGCGAGACCACGCTGAGAGGCAGGGAACATGTCGGCGATGGTACCACCAGCGTTGGTGAGAGGCGATGAGCCAAAAGCGCCAGCGAAGAAACGGAGGACGATCAGGGTCTGAGCGTTCTGTGCGCCCGCGCAGCCAGAGTTGAAGGCAGTGAGGGCAGCATAGGTACCGATGAAGAGGTATTGACGACCGAACATCTCACTAAGAGGGGCCCAGAGAAGGGGACCAATAGCGAAACCTAAGACGAAGAGTGACACACCCAGGGTAGCTACCTCTTGGCTGATGTGGAATTCCATGATGATCTCGCGGATACCGCCAGTGTAAGCCGACGACACGAGCGCGACGGCAAGGGTTGTGAGAGCGACGGTCATGGTGATGAACCACTTCTTGACCAAGCTCCAGCCCATGGGGTTTCGGGGATCGTTGGGGATCCATTTCACACGGTAGGGGTCTTCCTCAGTACCTGAGCCATCGTACTTGTAATCTCGAACCTCTGGTGTGATGCCAGCTTGGTCAGCGACCAATCGCCAGTAGGGTATTCTTGTCCGCGCAGGGACTTCGATGTTTTCCGAGTCGCTCATCGCTGTGGTCGTAATAATCTAACTACCGATCGAGGCTGTGGAATAATTAACGTTTGGGTGTTCCACGTCGGTTAGTGTTATTGCGATCTGTGGTGTGAGAGACAAGATCTAATGTCGATCATCGGTGACTCGGGGAGCCAAGGCAGTTTATAAACAGAGACAAAGGAAGGTTCCACATCGAAACGGTAGAAATTTTTATTAATCAACGACGTAACGAACACGACTAACGACTAAGGAGTTCAAATCTCTCGAATTCCATGGCATGGATTCGTCGGATCCGCCGACCGGCCGTAAGTGCCCGTACAGGCTTGGGCTTCTCGTGGTGACTGGGTCCTTGCGTTAAATCCGTCAAGGGATGATATCACCAAGCGAGACGCTAGAACCTTCTGGGTTATCCCTTTATGTATGCCTCGGCCCATCTCCCTTAGCATGTCGGACCCGGAACGGGGTTTTCGGCCGTAATCATATAAACCCCGGCCCTCGATACGGATATTTTTTTACTTTGGACTGGTTACAGTCGGAAACTGCGCGGGTTTATACTATCTGCGACGTAACGCTTACTATCCAGATGCAAGAGATTATGTTTTGGGTTTGATGATGCACATTCTCTACGTACTTTGACTGTTTCGGAGAGCTGATCGAGTCCGTCAAGACTTCGTCCGCGGAAACTCCATGGACATTAGTACGAAAACTTTGCGAAAATAGGTTCATTGGTTGAGATTTGTGCTAAAAATCCTTTTGCCACGGAGTTGCGTCATGACTTTTCCCGAATTCCGGTTTCAGCTTAGCAATTGCTCGGTCCCGAGGCACACATTTCGCCTAACCCAGCTCCTTCGCCTTAGAGACGGAGCTTGATGACTCGTGAACTCCTGTTGCTTATCGCATGATCCGCTTGTTAAGCACCAGGGTAGATCTCTTGTATCTAGATTCGAGGGTTTGAAATGGAGATCTTTTACGTAGTATCCAATCTTACCAATGTCCCGGAGTTAGGATATGGCGATATGCTTTGGCCCAACAAATGTCAGAGTGAATAAACTTCTCTAGGGTCATGCCATGGCCGACATGGTCTATTTATGTCCAGTGTTAATATCTGCAGTATTACATCGAGGTAGCAACATGGAAGATTTAACTCAACATGAAGTCAGGATCAAAGCAAACAAGTTTGTAGATAGAAAACACTAAGTACTAAAATTATTATTACCTCTAAATAATGTTCCTGCTTCTCAAAATCACTCTGACTCTCAAAGCAATTAAAAAGCTGCAGGGTAGGACAGACCCATGCAGTCGTCTCACGGTATCACGCGAGTCGGAATCCCGCTGCAGACTGGAGTTGACAATGACGCGTCACTTAAATACCAAGTCCGTTCCGTGACACGAAACACGTCCAGCCAATTCCGTTCCTCCATCTCAACAAGGAATTGGTAAGCCTGTATTTGTTCAGGCGAATTTGACAGAGCCGTTCGTCTCTTCGGAGCGCGTCGCTCTGCTCCAGGCTCCTGAGACCTTACTCCCACTCGAACTTTCAGCAAAACAGCTAGGTTCCGTGGTCTAGTTGGTTATGGCATCTCGTTAACACCGAGAAGGTCCCCGGTTCGATCCCGGGCGGAACCACGTTTTTTGTCCTTCGGCACTTTGATCTCGCCAAGACGGGCACCATCTTTTTGCCAAGCACCACCAACTCATGTTTTCTAACGGTTCTTGTCCGTATTCTTATTAGATCCGCCATAGGGTTCTGTCCAATGGTCATTCCGTACTTTTTATTTGGAATTTCTACTCGTACGCTCAGTTGAACGCCTTCTGAATCGCATACGGAAGGCGGTCAGAGTCATCAGACCATGCACAATCGATCCTATGCGCTGTAATGCTGCCAGCTGGACATCCAGGAACTTATGCTGAGCCATATTGATGCGTAGGAATATGCAACGTTAACCTTGAGTTCGTCTAGACCATTCCGTTCAACAGTTTAGCCCAGGCCTCCCGTCCCAAGCTAGCCCTACGCAACCACAAACAACCCCGGATCTAGTAGGGCCGAACCAGGAACCAGATCAGGCTGGAATTGAACCGTTCTTCTGCAATGCATGCACATACGTCGCAAACAATTCATCGCGACTGGCTGGCTATATCGGTTAAGCATCTTGTATCACATTGTGCAACACTTTACGTGCTTTTGCCATATAATCATGAGGTCTATTGTCTTCGAACAATTGCTCAAATCCTAGCATTATTGAAGGAACATAATGGCCTCACGTCGTATGACTGGCACTGCCCCGAATCAAATTTGCTCATTTTCCAAAGGACCACTCAGCCCCGTTATCCTAAGCACTAATGACCCTTGCTCGTTGGGCTGTTAGTGACAACCAGGGCACGTGCATAGCGAAGGATGGCGCTTGGGAATACGCTTGTCTCGAGCATAGTTTCCGATGCGAAGCAGCGAATGGCGGAGGTAGCTTCGAACCACGGTGAGCTGAGGATCGGGCCGTGCAGTGATCCTTTCAGCTACGGCATTTGGTATGTAAAGCTGAACTATCCCAGCGACGATCTTGATTCATCGCCAACTGCACTTCTTCCTCTTCGCAAGGCTCAATATGCATTCATCTTTGTTCACGCTATTGGTGGTAGCGGCATCTGCCCAGGCCTCTTGTGCCCGGACTACGCGCAAGTTCTCTCTCAAGACCACTTACGACTCCAGCAACTTCTTTGATCAGTTTTACTTCAGAGATGTATGTTCTTGATCTCACAATAAACCGGACGACTCTGACAAGATAGGCTGCCTATTACGATAGCATTGACCCTTCCTACGGAGGTGATCCTACCCACGGATCAGTCAACTACTTGAGCAAAAGCAAAGCTCAGTCTGCTGGTCTTGCCAAAACAACCAACGGCCAAGTTTACGTCGGTGTCGACTCTGTGAACAAGGCTAAACTGCTCGGTTCAAGCAAGACCAGACACGGCAGAGATAGTGTCCGTCTGGAATCCAAGGCTACTTATGGCAATGGTCTTTTGATTGCCGACATTGAGCACATGCCTGGTACGGCTTGTGGTGTTTGGCCATCCTTGTGAGTCTCATATAATTGGGTGTTCCGGGCCTGATAAGCTAACAACTGTCGCAGCTGGTCGTACAACTTTGACGAGGACCCAGTCGGGGAGATTGACATCATCGAAGGAATCAACGACCAAAGCCAAAACGTCGTCTCATTGCATACATGCGGTGCTTGCAAGTTCACCAAGATCGGCGGTCTTGACGAGCGCCCTAACTGCAACAACGGCGGGACTGAGTCTGAGCAATGCGAGGATGGCACCAACTAGTCAGTGTATCATGGAACAATGCAAGACAACAAACTAACTTAGGTTCTCAGCGACGGTTGCGGTAGCACTCACGCCTCAGGTTCATATGGATCGGCCTTCAACAAGGGCAAGGGAGGTGTCTATGCTGTCTGGCTTGAGTCAGATGCTCTGAAGATCTACTGGTTCAACCGCAAGAGCATTCCAGCCGACATCAAGTCTGGAAACCCCGATCCCAGCAAATGGGGTACTCCTGCTTCGCAGTTCCTCAGCGGTTCTGGATGTAATGTTGGAAAGTACTTCAAGGGGCAAACCATCGTAAGTCTAACAGTAAACACAAACAAACGGGTGCTAATGAGAAATAGATCATCAATACTGCGTTCTGTGGAGACAACATCGATCAAGGCACTTGGAACGAAGAGTGCAAGGCTTCTACTGGATCCAAGACCTGCGATGACTATGTCACCAACCACCCTGAGGCTTTCAAAGAGTCGTACTGGCTCTTCAACTCCATCAAGTATTACCAATAGTTAATGTAGTTAGATCAGAAGTAAGTGTGTTATGTTTTGGTTTGCATGCTTTCCAAGATTAGGTCAACGATTTCACTTCTTTCAATATCATCAATGGTAGCTGCTTTCCTTGTGATCTAGTCAAAAATATTTAGTTGTCCAAGGCTCGAAGACCCAGGATCTTAGATCTTTTCTGAGTCGTAACGCCAATGCTCTACACCAGTCTTGTTTTCAACATACTTAAGGACTCCTATAATTGCCCCCATTTTATTGACCGCTTCATCGCCAGCGTCGCGTCTAGCCTGGCATTTCTCGCACTGTTTGAGCTTTATACTGTTGTAGTTCCCACAAATTGCTTCCCCTTGATACTGCATGCACTTCCAGAATATCACTTTTTCGTGTACTTCAGTTGACCTGATCCAGTTGGTGGTTCCGGAGTTCGCCATAGTGACTCCTTGGATATTCCTGAGACGGGCTGAGTTGAAAAGGTCGTATTAGTCTTTTAATTTCTCTTCAGGGTATGGTGTAATCTGAAGGAGATATTTGTGGAGGGCTTTTATAGTCGTAATTGTCACCTGTCAGAATTTTGCCAAACCCTCTTCACTGTAGTGATTGCTACACATGTAGCCGTGATACTAGACGGTACTGCATTGCAGGCCATTAACCGGCAGTGGAAAACCCAGTGAATGGTTATTGAAGACTCCGTAATGCAATCCATATTATTGAGGGTAAGGAATATTGTAACTCCAGATGGAACATAGTCGATGCCTCATAGGACAGCAGTTCCTTCATGAGCTGAATAGAACAACACACAAGCACAGAAGAAGAGAAAAGTATTACTTCTTTTAAGCATTTTCTGCATGTTCTTTCTAGTCATGTTGCTCACAGTAAAGCCTATTAAATGCCTGTGATAAGAAGTGTCTTTGGCCTTCATTCAGAGCTTCAAACCTTCTGTGAACATAAAAGTCAACATTGAAATATCGAATGCAGTATATGAGACACCATGAAAATCCTGGACTGATTATTTGTTTTTGGTACGTTCAGCATATAGTCACTAGTTGTAGTCTTTAGCCGAATGCCATCAAGATCCGGCCACAAGTCACAACTTGCAGATCGCCACAGTGAATGCAATAACGTTTTGGATATTGCCCCAACTTCCCTTTGTGTTGACTCCTGGGTAGAGGGCGAGTAGTGATACTAAATAGAATTGGCAATGGACAGAACATATGTGTCCAACATGGGTTTACTCCATTCAGAGCCTGATAATTGAGTGTTGGTGCATCAGCAACCACTGGGATTGCTGGCAACGCATGTTCCTACGTCATGGAAGGGAATTCTTCCGTCACAGTTGGCGCTGGTGGTGCGGTCAGGAACAGCAGCTGAAGTCTCGGTTGAAACAGAGAGTATCTCAGCGGTACAATCGGCGGTAGCATTCACTATCGAGAGAAAGCTAGTGAGGAACTTGGTGAGAGTCTTACTGAATTCAGTAACTTGTCTCAGCCATGGTGGTGGCGATAAGGTCCAGCGCTCACGTCGTTGGCAACGATGAAGACCAACATGTCCATGGGAATTCGAAACAATGCCAATGTCGCGACGCCCGATGGCTCGATAACAGTGGAAAACTAGAAAACAGATGCCGTGTGTCTGGCATCGTATTTGATGACACTTCATCTTATCCTTTACGACCGCATTTCCATGCCCTTTGAGCCATATCGGGCCGAACCTAAAATACAAAAGGGAACAAACCCGAAATCTACCCCGGCCCCTTCAGTGCGAAGGTTTGTGGCTGAAGATTTATCCAATGGCCCTCGACCGATAAGGCGCCTTACAGGGCTAAAAGCCGATAGTTTTGGCCGAACCCATGGCTTCGAGGCAGACACAGCACATGAAGCTTGGCAGGAAGAGCTCAATCAGCCCAAACCAAGAGCAAGCACACAGCGTTGGGTACCAGAAAATGCTTATACCTGATGCTGATAGTGAATAATGAAATCAATCGATGAGTCAGCCGTCAAAACCAAGTTATTAGAGTCTACATACTTGATGCATTGAATGTCTCGGGGAACTTCAAACACCCTGTCGATGATTCGCCGGGATCAAAGTTCATGACTGTACACTACTGCAAGGGTTGCGCTTACGGCTTCCTAACCGGGTTCCCCCTCAATAACCTGACGCTAGCCCTCCTTTTTCGCATGCCAGCTGTCAAAATATCTCACCTTCGCTTGGACGCTTCCTTATACAAACCCCCGCTGAACTTTGCTCGAGTGTTCACATAAAGTTTGCAAGCATGGCAGGGTCACCTCCAACCTCAAAATCCCCTTCCCCGAAGGAATCATCGCCAAAGGAGTCATCGCCAAAGGGTTCGTCACCCAAGGAATCATCACCCCACGAACAGACAGCGCCACTAGAGCCCGCTGGTCAGCTCGAGGCAGATGAGGGGAACATCGGCGACAACGATTCAGCCATCGGCGAAAATGATGCTGGGAGCTCCACAGCTTCGATCGCCTCCAGCATTTACAAATACAGAATTGAAAATGGCAGAACATATCATGCTTACAAAGACGGCATCTATGTCGGCCCAAACGATAACTCAGAGCAAGACCGCCTGGATCTTCAACATGCGCTTTGTCTCCTCACTTTTGACAACCAGTTATACCTTGCGCCCATCTTTGAAGAGGGCGAGACACCCGTGAGACGGGTATTAGACATCGGCACTGGTACAGGGTGCTGGGCAATTGACTTTGCTGATGATCACCCTGAAGCGTCTGTTATTGGCGTTGACCTGAGCCCAATCCAGCCTGCATTCGTGCCGCCTAACGTCGAGTTCCAGATTGATGACGTGGAAGAAGACTGGACATTCTCAGAGCCATTTGACTATATCTATACCAGATTTATGACGGTCTCGCTTGCCAACTGGCCACGGTTCTTCGGGCAAAGTTTCACGAATCTAAATCCAGGTGGCTGGCTGGAGGTCGTGGATATCCTTCCCCCAACCTCAGATGATGGTACATTGGCTCCTGAAACGGCTCTATATCAGTGGTCGAAACTCTTGCTTGAAGCAACAGAAAAGATGGGTCGACCGTTTGGTGAAACAATGACCTATAAGACACAGATGGAGGCTGCTGGCTTCCAGAACGTCACACAGCGAGTTTTTAAATGGCCACAAAACCGTTGGCCTAGGGAAAAAAAGTATAAAGAGCTAGGTAAACGAATACCTCCTGGTGCCATTGATAGAAGGCAAACTGACGTGATTCAGGTTCTTGGACCCTCGAGAATATTTCTGGCGGTCTTGACGCGATTAGTAGTGCTCTCTTCACTAGAGTCCTGGGCTGGTCGAAACCTCAGTTGGATGTTTTCCTGACTGACGTTAGAAAAGATCTCAAGAACCAGTCCATCCACGCTTATTGGCCTATGTGAGTTATTGACCTTGACCACAGGGAAAGAAAGCTAACGCGAATACAGATACGTCATTTGTGGACAAAAGCCTCAAGAGTAATGTGAACACTTGATGACATCATGAGACCTGTTTGCGGAAAAGTCGATGAATAAGAAGAAAAGTAACGAACAACCCAGATTTGCCACGCCCTGAAGAAAGCCAGACACGTGTATATAGAACTTATGTTATCTGAATTTTATAGATAAAGGCACCTCTGAAAACAATATCATATGTGACTCTGCCTGCTGTAGTGACCAGTCATGTCTCACGGGCCCTGCCGTTGTTGTGACAAATCAAAGCAAAACCTTCGCGGAGTTGCTCCTCACATTAATCAGACACGGAAGAACAGCACGGCCGACTCGTCATGCTATTTGTTCTTGCGTACATGATTATCTAAAGCGGGAAAATCTGAATCCTTCACGGTCCAGACCATGATGGATCCATGGTGCTAGGACGAATAGAACGTGTTGAGGTTCGCGGACTATTGTAGGCGTAGGACAACGAAAGTCCGCAACTCCGCGCTTTGACATAGCACAGAAACGAACCATGCGTAGTTTATAAGCCCGTATAGCCGTGCCTATTGAACTTTAAAGTATTTCATACAAGCGACTAAAACACATTCATAGTAATCCCAACCCAGGAGGTCATTTTCACGACTTACACAATGTCACATAACGTCGTTTTCGTCACCGGTGCCACCGGCTCCCAAGGATCTGCTGTTGCAAGACTACTCCTTGAGCTTGGTTGGACCGTACGCGCCACGGCTCGTAACATGGAATCTCCTGCCGCCAAGAGACTACAAGATCAAGGTGCTGAAGTTACCCTTGGCGACTGGGACAACGAAGCAGTTCTTAGAGAGGTCATTGGTGGATGCACATACGTATTCATGAATCTGGTACCAAATATCACAACATTCACGTCGGAGGTACCAGCAGCGAAACGCATCATCGACATATCGAAGACAGCAGGCGTCAAACATATGATCTACTCCAGCGGTATGGCAATCAAAGACATGGAAAAAGACAAATATCATGACCCAGAACACCCTGTTGTACGCGCCCACGGATGGAAGAAAGAAGTTGAAAACCTCGTCAAGGACGCCGGTTTCGAGAGGTGGACAATTCTCCGAGGGGGTTTCTTCATGTGTAACTTCCTGGAGCCTAAAGTCAATATCATGTGCTCTGGTCTCGTAGCTAGCAACACGTGGTCAACTGCCTACACGCCCGAGGAAGAGCTACCAGTCATGGATGTCGAGGACCTTGCAAAGTTTGCTGTGGCGGCTTTTAGTGAGCCAACCCGCTTCAATAAGCAGACCATCGAAATTGCAAGTGAGAAACTCTCGCCAGATGAGATCATGCAACAACTGGGCCAAGCAAGCGGAAAGCCTTTAAAAGCTGTTTATTTGACCGACGATGAGATCGAAGTGAAGAAGAATGAGGATATATTTGTGGCTGTACAGTTAATGTCAAGGGGCTTGGGAGACAAAGTCGATATCGGAGAAGTTGAGGGTTGGGGGATCCCTTTGACAACCTTCAAAGAGTTCCTTGAGAGGGAACGCTCCTGGGTTGAAAGCACTTTCGCATGATGAGCCATTAGCACGTCGTGATCAGCCTCATGCCAAGTCTAGATACAATTCACAACCTTTATATACGCTTGGAAGAAATATGTTTAGTGGCTTTCTTGTGAGGCTGTATTGCGCCGCCTACACAGGTCCACAAGTTTATCACCAATAAGCTTTCCAATAGCCATCAGCCCCCAGGCAGTATCGTAGACTAGTGGATGCTATAGAGTGAACTGAAGGCTGGAGGAATTAACTTCAGGCAACTGACCTCGGCAGGCGAAAGTATGGGTATCTGACCTATAGGAAGGTTCTGAACCAAATATAATCTTCCATCACGCTCATATACTTTACTTGGCTTCAGTAACTGTCTGAACCTTGACATATTGGCCTGACAAGAACGAGTATAAAGTGTCGCCCTTCCCCCTTTCTTTCATTTTCTTTTTCTTCTTCTCTATACATCCTAGTGCATGGGTTTTTTCCTGCTCTGTGAAGCAACAAGCTGAGAGAGGAATTTTGCTGATTGAAAGCCTCCTATTCTTTCATCAAAACCACCAGCTCTATACTGGGTGCGCCTGGTATGGGAATTTTTGGAACCTTTTTACTGACTGATTGTCTTCATTTCTTTCGCCAATGCTTGAGGCATTGGGTCTTCGCATCAGCAAATATGGAGGCCGATGATGTTTCCTCTGCTTTTGCCCTAAAGCTCTGGATATGAGGCTTTTCCATGGAAATTACTTTTCAATTTTCAACATCACTTTTATGAACCCATTCCATATTGCGGCAAATGTAATGCTAGAACATGACGGAACTGACTTGGAGGTTGGAGCTAACAACACCAGACGAATCGCATATTTTCTTGGATCTCATGGTGAATCCTGTATATGTGCCCTTCTGATATGATGTTAAGACTTGTACGAAGTGAAGACTGAGACCAGTCAAATTGTAGAACTGGTAGGTGATCTGTATACAGGTGATGCGCCAACCCTCCTTAAACGTCTTCTGTGTTCGAGTTGTTCCACTTCTCCACCATCTTTAGAGAATCATTCCAAAGCCTCTGCTCATCCTTGGGGTTGTAAGTGTGAGAAACATACGTGTACGAAGTCGAAACGCCATCGTCTTCGCCCCGTTCCGCAGCACTACAGTTGGTGATGTAAACACCCCCTCTTTCTTCCCATTCTCTACCCACGGCAGCGACCAAAGTACTTGAAGCCGCTTGCTCAAGACTCTGAACCTCATTCATTTTGTCGCCAATAACCCCCGCCATCACTTCCTGGGGAATATGACGACCAATATTGGAGGCAACCAGTCCCGGAGCAACACTAGTCGCATGGATCCCCCTGTGACCATATCGACGTTCAATCTCATTGGCCATGTAGGTATTGGCGGTCTTGGAGCGAGCGTATGCTTCCCAGGGCGTATAAGCGGAGGCACCACTGGTCTCATAATTGTAGTCGTTCGAAACGGGTATGCCTTGCATGCGATGAGCAGTAGCTCCGACGACAACGACACGAGACTGGAATTTCTCAGTTGACCCTTTGAGAAGGCTGGGTTTGAGGAGCTCAAATAAGAGGAAGTGAGATAAGTGGTTCGTAGCAAACTGCTCTTCAAAGCCATCGGTAGTAGTTGTAAGCTCTGGAACGGCCATGACACCAGCATTGGCGATGAAGATACTGAGCTCGTCGGTCTCAGAAAGGATGGTCTTTGCGGCAGCTCTAACACTGTCCATAGAGCTCAGCTCAAGTTGCACAAGCCTCATCTGACCCGGGTTCCAGAAGTCAGCGAGAGCTTCCTTGGCTTTATCAAGGTTTCGGGCAGTCAGGAAGAGCTTTATGCCTGTAGCAGCAAGAGCCCGTGCGGTTTCTATGCCGATACCGGATGAAACGCCAGTGATGACTGCTGCCTTTCCAACGAGTTGGTTCTGCATTTGCTCATCCTGCACTACCTGCAGAGCAGTTGGCCGGCTGTCACCTGGGCCTTGAGGGTTGGTGTAGAGAGAGGCGTAACGAGACATGTTAAAGGTGTGTAAATTGGATTTTGAAAAGCAGGATTATTGGGTCGAAGCGGAATGTTGGATTGAATTGAAGAGAATTTGGTATACTATTGCAGCTTCTCCTGAATTTATAGTAGATTTGTCGCAGCTCAGTACGCCGCCCAAAACTTTTACCAAAACCATCATGCTAAGTCCACTTCAAGTCGTGATGACATTGTAACCCAAAAGAGAATGATGCACCGAAGGATTCCCCAAGGTCCACCATGCATGCTGCTGGTCGCTTGGATGGAGTCATAGCGCTTGTCAATAGTGCATTATCGGAACAAAAGGAAACGTTGAGCAAGGGCCCGAGGAATATTCGCTATCGGAGTTAGCAGATCATATCATGCGCGGATGACTTTTTATCTCGATTCGTATTAGCGTGACATATCTCGGCTCGCCAGCTCACATGGATACTTTATCCGTCACAAATCCTATTCCCACCATCTTCCTGATCAAAGCTTCCTGATCAAAGCTTACATTTTTACTACTTTCGTTATAGCTCGCCGGCCTTTTGATTGATCACCACTGCTGGAGATTAGCAAGCCCCGTCACGAATCCGATCGATTATGGAAGATGCTGAGAGAAAGCAGCGGCGCAAGCTGCAGAACAGGATCAACCAACGAGCTCGCCGTAAGTAGTTGATGGACAGTTCTGATTACAATGCTTCCTATCTCGGAGGCTAGCTTGGCCATGTCTAACTTTTGCACGCAGGAAATCGCATGAACAATGATGACACAACCAAAAGTTGTGCCAAGCAGCAACGGCCGACATTCGGAGTCAAGCTCTGGAGGGTGGATGAATTCGGACTTGAGGCCGGAGCCGACAACGATGGATGCTGCATCACTAAGCAAGACCCGAGGTTGTTTCTTACCACTGTATACAAGGGAACATTGAGCACCACAGATGTTGAAGTATACAGCCAGCAACTTGAAATGCATCAACGTCTACGGGCATCGAAGGGCGGGGTGTCTCCTCTCTCGGACCAACTTCTGTATCTCATAAACTACAATGCTTTCCGAGGGCTTTTTCAGAACAAGGTAACACTGTCAAAGGTGGCGAGTCATCTTGTACTGGAGGAGAGTCGGCATGAGAAACTGGATGTGATGGCTGGCTTAAAGCGCGATGCCATTTGTGTCGAAGCAGGTCAGGATATACCGCCTCATCTTCGTCCTACAGCCCTGCAATCAACAAGGGCACATGCAACCTGGATCGATCTCATTCCGTTTCCGAAGATGAGGGACAATCTTATCACTCACCATGATCATTTCAATCATCGACTACTCGTCACTGACATCATAGGAGATCTACTGGAAGACATCATGTTCAACAAATATGGAGAGGGCACTGGGCCAAGAGGACGGCGACTTGTGTCGAGAGGCAAACCTAGCGACTATGCTTTAGATCGGCGCGGCTTGATTCTATGGGGAGAACCGTATCGTATGGAGAGCTGGGAGGCGACGCCTCAATTTCTGGAAAGATGGGGTTGGGCTGTTGAAGGATGTCCCGAGCTGATGATGGCAACAAATCATTGGAGAGCATTGAGGGGAGAAGTCCCATTGGTGTTTGAGAGACAAAACACAGGACAAGTTGAGAATCTGGAGTAACAACGGGTAATGGAGCTGGCTTTGGGATTTTGTGGAACCTCGAGGTCAAGTCAATTGAAGTGTCAATGACATCAACCATTGTCATGATTGATGATATGTCGGCTTCGAATGTCGTCATTACTTTTGCTACAGCAACAACCTATGAAACAGCCACGATTCTTCTTCTTCGTCGACCATTCAACACAAACTCCAACACCGGTCATCCAATCCTTTACAGAAATTCTCAAATTCCCGAAAATACATCACCTACTCGTCTCGTCTCGTTGAAATCATGGCCATCGCACGTCAAACATTCTCCTCCTTTAGACGCATCGCCACCGTCACATCTGCGCTTCGATGCCAACCTGTGCTGAGCCCATATACCTCTATCCGCATGAACTCGGGCAAGGTCAAGACACCAGTATCCTCTGATCCCAACCACGATAAGAACAATCCCCCAGTCGCCGATCAGTCAGACGGAGCCATGGCTTCGCTGAAGGGCGCACCGGGTAAACGCGATGCGAGCTCGTTCGAAGACAAGAACATGACAGAGAAGGAGAAGAAAACCAACAGTCAGAATGCTCAAGAGAAGGATAGTAGAGAGGGAAGCAATGGCGAGGCAGGCCATTTCGAGAAATCCGGCAGGAAACCCAAGATTTAAAGAGTATGGATCACTTTTACTCTACGTATACAAAGAACTAGGGACACCAAAAAGAGATTCCATTCATAAGATATCCAGTTCATGAGTCGTTGTTGAGGTTATTCAGAGTCGAAGCCTGCTCATCGTTACACCGGTGCACGTGATCTGCAAAGATTATTTTCACCGTACTCTGCACTGTTGTCACAAAAAAGTAAACATTCACGACTCTCTACTTTCAGAAACCCTTGACCTAACTGGAAAATGTGCGGGATTGTGCCGTTCGTCAAAGGCCTATACGAGGATCTCATGGAAGCCATCGATGACCTCTTTCCAAATCGTTCTACGGATTCGACACCGCTGATCAATAACCGTCAACCATTTCAATTTCAGCAGCCCCATCAACAAGCGTACACTGTAACAGCCCGCCCGGTCGCAGAAACTCATCGCCGAGCGACGGAGAGGCTCGAAGTCAGAGCTGCTTCCGCAAGAATGCCTTCACCCCCGAGAGGCGACCCTACGCAATGATTATGAGTGAGAGGACAGAACGCGCAGTCAGCCACCTGAGACACGATGCAGACAGCAAAGCTGATGCAGCGACGCGCCACTCTTTTACACTTGACGACCTTTGGAAAGGACTGCGATAAATTGGAGCATCGGCGTTCTTTTATGAGCTATCTTACATACCGACCAAAGAAATCCAACACGAGAACATCATGCCAGAAACCATCATTTGCCCGGATGCACTCATCAACCCTCCAGCTCACAATTCATAAAATGTCGACAGAACCCGATAGCGAATTCTTTTGCACTCTGCTCATCAAAAGGATCATACTCGTCCTCCTTGGGCGTCGGCCACATAATCACCAAAATCTCTCCGCCTTCCTCGGCAATCATTGCTTCGTCATCACTTCCGACGCGTCCTATGAGAGCGATGATTTCTTGATTTGACCAGCTTCTGCACATACGCACGCGTATCAATCCTTGCTCCGCAGGCCCCGTCGTCATACACATCCATTTATCGTCCATGTCCTGTGGACAATGGCCAAGCATGAGGTTTTTCATATTTGGGCCAGATAAGCGGATGCGCCATTCTGCGCTGCAGGGGGTTTCGATGAATTTGACGTTAATGCGAGAGCCGGTGAATCTCTTTTGGGTTGTCATGGTGAAGTTTTTGTTGGTTGGTCTTTGGTTTGAGACTTGTGATATTTTAACGATGATGCTTTAAGATATTGAGTAGGATGGAGGCAACAAATATTTATTCATTTTCGGCGTGGAATGCTACATATCAAGGGTGTTTGTTGTAACCTGAGTCATGCCGCTTGTCTGCCTTCCCATGACTCCGCCTCAATAGAGGATCCAAACCTGAGGCAAAGCCTTTCGTGATAAGCGACCAAAATCTCACTGCATAAACCCCCAGGATCATGAATTGCCGTAGCGCTGCAATTTCTTGGGACATAAACCTCGGGCTTTGTTTGTGACACGAGGGCTGGGACAGCATATGACGATTGTATGCAGTACCAAGGTACCGCGACTCCATACTGCAATATCAGTGACGCCGTCTGGTTCTATGAGAGTAGGCTCCAAACCTACGAGCCGGTGTCATTGAGGATGAAGTGATCCATTGGATGAGCGGCGAGTGGGGGTTTGGTTCATATGTCGCCCTTTTCCAGCACCTCAGCATGCCCGAGACTGATAAATGTGCTGATGGGGCCACAGGCATTAATCTTAGCGCAACCAACAAAGTTCTGACCAAAGTCGACTACAACGCTGTCCGATACGGAGGATCTTCTTTGCTTGAAGCCCTGTCAATTTTCTAATAGGTGGACTGGCTGATGGGACGAGAGCAGCGGGCAAAAGGCGGTAGTTCTTCGGGACTGAGCCGACCACCATTGTCAACAGATGCACTTAACCAGCCCTTGACGACAGAATCTTTCCTGAAGCCTTAGACCTTTCCCTTGTGAATATGTGAATCTGGCAGAGGAACAAAGGTGTATGATTACTTAGTGTCAGATGGGATGTGAGCCGGTGAGCCATCGCTGAGTCGGACCTCCAAGTCGCATGGCACCAATCTTATCTCTGTAGAGGTTCATGAACTCGCCCCTAGTATGGCCGAAGAGATAGTTGGCGTATTAAGCCTCTAAACTCAGGATAAAAACAGCCCTCAGGCCTCCTAAATCGCTTCTATAATATTATAGATACTATAGCTATATTAATACTTAAGAGATTAGAAATCTAGCTAAAATATAATATTTTATTTACTTAATATAGATCTTAATTTTATAGAAACCTAGAGAAGTAATATATAGGTAAGATTCCTAGATAGAAATTAGCTCTAAATATATATAGAAGGTCTTTCGAAAGTATAATGGCCTTTTGGGCAAGGTAATGGGCAGTGTTTGTTGCAACTTTCCAGACATAGACTTGCTTCATTTGAACTCAGAGCCATAGTCTGTCGAGGCCGACTATATATGCAACGGGGTGATATGCCTACCACTTCTCGACCAAGTTGATCGGCACTCGGGAGATGCATAATGGGCGCTACCAACTCAGTGGGGTTTACAGAGGCCGCGGTCAAAAGTTTTGTCTCGACCC